TAGGGAGATAAGGAAGGGATTTTGCAACTATATTAGGTTTAATATAGTCAATATTTCCCACAGGAATAATTTGCACAAATTTGGGCTTGGAGAGGAACTTTGACAATTTGGGCCATTGAACAACCTCAAGATAATCAATACCAAACTAAAAAAAAATATGTATATGGCTATGTAAAATAGGTGATAGTTTGCCTGCTGTGAATATTTTGATACCGGTAACTTGTTTCCAAAATAACTGTTGTCTTTGTGGAGAAGCCAGACCCATGTTGCAGTAAATTGTCTTTCTTGGACGTGTAGAAGAACTTTGAAAGAAATTTTGAAGTATGAAGGAATTAATATTGGAATTTGAACCTGAAATTATTTGTTACATTAGTTAGAAGCAGTCCAATACACAAAAGTAGACATCTGGTTTTAGAGAATAGAGATCAAATACAGAAACATAGCCTAAGGTGTGAATCACAACCCTGTTTCAAATCTATATTTGCCATTGTGCTTACTGGTAATTGTGGATAATCGTTGTTTCTTACCTTACTCTGTTGCATAGAGTTTTTGTGAGAATAAAATGAAAGGAAAATGGTCTATCTTGCCTTAAATTTTTGGAATTATAATTGCAATTAATGACAATAATAATCTATTGCACTTACATATTGAATCACAACCAACACAATTTTACTGTAGTTTTGTACTCTGCAAATAAGATGTTAGCTCTTGAAATCAATGAATTATTTCCTGTAGGTCAAAGCAGTCAGAAAGCAGCCAAATTCTGTGGCGAAACCCCAAAACTTCTTCAACCCTGGTGGCAGTGGTGGGATTCAGCTAGTTCGTACCATTTTGGCAGAACCGGTAGCTAATTTTTTGTTGCCCAGGCCCCAAATGGACTTCCAGAAGTGGCATCCTCACAGAGAACCGGTTGTTCACTTATTTGAATCCCACCACTGCCTGCTGGCTATACCTAATTAGTAAAGCAGCAGAACTGCTGTACTTTGGACCACGTTAAGGAAAAAGTGGGATTTTATATTTGATGGATTTTTTTTCAAGCTTTTCTGGTACATTTCTTTTTATTTCGCATTCTTACAAAAAAATAGTCTATGATATTGTACATCTCTGGCAGGGACTGAGATCCTTTGATATAAAAGAAACACTCCTGAAAACAGATTCCTGTGTTCCTCCAACTCACACCTCACCCCCTTGTAAAAATCCTCTTCATTGTCATAACACTACTAGTAGTTCAAAATATTTGTAATGCTGCCATCTAGGTTAAGGACTACATTTTTTAAATACGTTCAGACTTATTTAAATTTTTATAACTTGTAATTTATAACTTGTAAATTTTTATAACTGGTCTGTAGTACTAAATATAATGCTAATGAAAAAAAAAAATCACTTGTTTTTCCAAATAAATATTTTAAATGAGTAGCTTATTAAACATCTATTCCTCCTATAACCTTATGGCTCCTTCCTGCAAAGAAATGGAAAATGTAACAATTGTTTACATGGGTTTTTTTATTAATGGTCAAGAAATTACAGCATCAGAGAACATAACTCAGATTGGGGAAATATATTGTAGTTATTGATTTCACTTCAAATAATGACGTATTTACACAAATTGCTATTGCTGAACTAAAATCATCAACCATTATTTTTAAAACTAATGTAAAATTTTCAGCTGTACTTTGATAAAAATAATATAATTCAAATTTTCTTCATTTTCTTTTGTAGTGGTGTCTTATTTCAACAAGCTGAAGGGTTAATTATTTTCTTGCACTTTATATAATTTTATATGTTAAGAATAAAGTATTCCATATTTTGTTTTACTATGAATGGTTATTATATAGAGATAGTATATGGAGTTATATAGTATAAAATGTATAGTTCTGTAAATGGAGCCATAAATCCTGATATAAAATAATATAGATAATTTCAGTTCCCTATTTTTATTTTTTAAATTTTTTATAGAATAATAAAGCCTATTTCACCGGACATTGCTCAAATTATTTTATTTCTAAACAACATTGATTTTCTTTCAGGCAGTACCAAGCACAGCTATAATTCATTATTGCTATAAGTGTCCCATTTTTATACTATCCATAGATTTTCTTTGCTCACAATCTGTGCATTGCTACTGCCAGATGGCCATTCAGTTGAGAGTTTGTTTTCCGTGAAAATAAATTTACATTGAAGTTTATTGGTTGTATTTATTTACTTATATGGAATATTTCTATTTTCTCTATTACCTAACATCAGGATAGCTAGTAATATAATTTAAAAAGCAAAATGCAACAAAAACAAGTTCTGAAATATTAAATAGTAACATCTAAAGCAATTAAAATACATAATAATATATTTAAAACATGATGAAATAATTAAACGATAATTAAATATCTTTGAGTTTTTTCTTAAAATGTAATAAGAAAGGGATTTGTCAACTTCAGTGACTGTTTGCTTAGAAAAATGAACTCCTGTCCAGCCAGAGAAAGGAGAATTAGTTAGCAATGTCTTGTCTTGTCTTGTCTTGTCTTGTCTTGTCTTGTCTTGTCTCTCTCTCTCTCTCTCTCTCTCTCTCTCTCTCTCTCTCTCTCTCTCTCTCTCTCTCTCTCTCTCTCTCTCTCTCTCTCTCTCTCTCTCTCTCTCTGTGTGTGTGTGTGTGTTTAGTGAGATCCACAAAAGTTACACAATGAACTGTGTGGGAATAAGCTATCCTATACAGTCTATCCCAGTGATGGTGAACTTTTTAGAGACTGAGTGCCCCGACTGCAACCCCAAACTCACTTATGCATCGTTGGGTGCTGGGTGGGTGTGGCCCATTGAATGGGGATGGCTGTGGTGATAACGGCAGATTGGGTTCAATCAATCAATTCCAACTTTGCAAGATCTTTTTTTCCCCGTGAGAAGTTGAAATTGACTGATTGATTGAACCTTTTTTTTTTCTACACGGCGGCAGAGGCCTAAAACGAAAAGGTTTTATAAAACCCAGCTGAAGGCCTAGGACTGGGGCAACGGTGCGCGTGCCCACAGAGAGGGCTCTGAGTGCCACCTCTGGCACCCATGCCATAGGTTTGCCACCACTGGTCTATCCTAACTCAGGTTAGATTGAAAAAAGTGGCTTGAATATATGATATACTATTATTTTATTATGTTTTGTCTAGATTACGGAAAATATTTGTGTAGCATTAAAGCAGAAAAGAAATTTTAATAAAAATTAAATAGTAAGTTTGGAAATATTTTCAATTCATAATTTTCTGCCTGCTAATTATTTATAAGTGTGGTACACAATCTAGCTGAAATAAAACTCTATTAGATCCCTAAGATATCATAAGGCTATATAAGGATACATTATTAGAAGGTAGCCTTCCATTAATTAATGGAATTACATTTTGCTTGCCAAGTGAAGCACCTGAAATTTTTTCCTTATCTAAATTTGTATTACACATAAATATCCAACCATCATTGAATTTGTGCTGCTGATTCACCTTCAGCATTTTATGGTTTTATATTTTTATAACTTGTAAGTAGATCTTATTGAATAATATCAATCAATGTATTGGGGAAAATAAAAAATGACAATTTTTTTTATATAAGCAGTAGTTTTTTTAAAAAAATATGCAGGACAGTCCTATTTCAATGTTCCTTTTCAATATGCTGTCATTCTTTTGTTCTTGAAAATTGCTCCTTTTAAAAATATTAATGACTTTTCACTAGATTAGTTTCCAAATTAGGAATATATACTTAACATGCTGAAACATTAAAAAATACAATACAAATTAATATTATTGGCCAGTAATTATTTGTTTTGGTTTCTTTCTATTTCGCATTTCTAAACCGATAGATGATTGATAGATAGATAGATAGATAGATAGATAGATAGATAGATAGATAGATAGATAGATAGATAGATAGATAGATAGATAGATAGATATTGCTAAGTGAGTGGGCCTGCTATCATAGACTTAGGCATCATTTTGAATGTCTGTTTTATGAAAGTGTGTGGGATCTAAAATAAATGTTAAAACATTCTTATTTTTAAGCTTGATAAGTGTTTATCTAATTATTAACTAATTATTATTAACTAGAAGCCAATGTGAATGAAACAGATGCAGAAACAGCTCACACTGGGAAGAAAGCAATTTAATGAAATATACTGGAAAACCAATTAAGCTTAACTTTAATTTGTAAGCAGTGTTCTGCTTGCTGATTAAGAAGGCCTGTTTTGTAATTTCCCACCTGTTGAATTCAATAACAAATCTGTTAAAGTCAGTGAAGTCTGAGAAATCTGCTTTCTTGCAAATGTGTTAAATTACCAAGCAGCGGGGAGTTTGACCTAAGTATGTGTAAGGCAGGAAAGGTCCACTCAGATAATTCTGCCAATCAAAATCAATACAGTAAAGTAGATAACAGATTTAGACACTAAAGTTTTGTTTAAAACCCGGACTTACTGCTGGTGTCATCAGCATTGCCCTTTAGGATTTTTCAATTAATGCTGAAAAGCAGGATTATTGATTTTTGGATTTTCAGCATATCGTCCTTAGGATTGCTTAAGTGTTCTTTCTGTTGCTCACACTTAAATTGATAGTGCTAGACACATAGTTAAACTCTTTCCTTAGTAATAATTTTACAGTCTTAGTGAACTGGTTTTATAAAATAATCATTCATCCCCCCAAAAGTGGGGTGGTCTGGACATTGTTTCTTTGCCTGAGGGCCAAGAGTAAGCAGTATCTTCCCTAAGAATGAGCATGCAGTAACAGATTAAGACATTTGACTGTCATAAATCTGCTTTCCAATATATGGGACTCATAGGGCAGTTCTCCATCTATCCCTAATATAAAGAGGGTATTAGCCCGTCATTGGCTGCTTTAAAGTTAAGCATACAGTTTTACTGTTCCCTTTCTCAGTGTCGTACATCTGTTCCCTACTTTCTTGTTCCATGCATATGCACATCGAGTGTATATGCATGTGAATGTGTGCACGCATATGTGGAGTATAGGCTGAGAGAGGATAACAAAATGAACCATTGCGTGCAAGAAATTTATGAATCTCACTCAGCTGCTAACAGCAACTGCTACATGCAGCCTTCGGATTATTGCACTTATATTGAAGATAGTCAGAGTTACGGCAGTTGTGATGCTCAGGTCCTGCACAATAATAACATATATATGGAACAGGCCTGGGCAGTGAATCAGCCTTATACCTGTAGTTACCCTGGAAACGTTTTTAAGAGCGAGTATTCTGACATGGACATGGCCCTGCATCAATACAACCAAACTGAATATTTCACTGAAGAAAAGCCTACTTTTTCTCAAGTGCAGTCACCAGCCTACTCTCAGAAAAAAGGTATGGGAAAATTTTGTCATTTCTCAATAAGAGACAGAAACAGAAACAGAGAAAGAAACAGAGACAGAGACAGACAGAGAGAAAGAGAGAGATCAATATCATCTATCTGCATCTAATTCTTTATAGAAGAAAAAGCATACTTTTCTGAGTTACATGCTTAATGGTGAAGACTGCCTGTCTAGAATTGGAAACAGTAGCAACAGATGTTGCTAGGTGACTTGAAATGGGTTTATTTTGAAGCATGATAAATGATAATGACATGCATGTATTTTTGTATTAATATCAGGAAGCTTTTTATATGTATACAATATTTTCAAACTGCCAGCCTACCATGCTATTTGTTTGTATATGGTTTGAATGAATGGAAGTTTCTTCTTAACAGTCTATTGATTCATTTATAAAATGTGTGGTCTTCTGTATCTTCATCTCTTAAGTGACCACTGTCTATTTAACATCTTTAGTTCTAACTGTGTGTGCAAAAATTGCCATACTGTTAATTTGCATAAAATACTAATCACTGGATTTTATAATATAAACAAAATTATATTTATAATATAAAACAGTTCAGGAAAAAAACTGTTAGAAAAACAAAGTGAAACTTTACTTTTTCATCAAATTGATCAACACTTGGGTTGCTGGTGGAGTTAATAATTGGTATAAGAGGATAATTCTAAATAAAAAAATTATATATAATATTGGATGCCTTAAGCAAGCAAGCTGTGAAATATTATGCAGTGTAATCTGAAATAAAGCAAACAAGCTGTTCAACATCTGTAAGAATCATTTAGCTGCATGTATACAAAATATTATTTCTTCTGTAATACATTTTATTTCATAGACCACTATTCTATTGTCTTTACAATGTTAAATGTTACTTTTCTTGACAGTCATAGAAGTTCTGTTTCTAACACTACAAGTAAGTTGAGTTAGTTCAAATAATATAAAATATTTGAATGAACAGTCTGCTGTTTGATCATTATTTTCCAGCTATTCAGGCTGAGCTAACTATAAGCAATTAAAATCTGAGCAAATATCAAAATTTCCATTTCTTTTAAAACAATTTTGTAGATAATGTTATCTATTTAAAATAGTATGCTATAATATTAAAAAATGTTCTTTTGCTCAGCTTGAGATATATTTAGTAGCATTTACTATTCTTAAATTATAACTTTTAGTAGACAAAGTTATTCAATAGTTTTAAAAAAACATACTGGTCTAAAAGTCTAGAATTTTTTGTAAATAGTTACTAAATGGTAAAAATGAGATTTAAGGTATTCTTCACATTTAGAATGTTCAAAACTGAAAAACTGACCAATATGTGTTTAAAAGGTTTAATGTATATTTAAAAACTAAGACCTTTTTAAAAAAATTAAAATAACACAATATCTGTATCTTCTTTTTTCTTTTTTACTTCCTTCTGTTATTTCTTTTATGTCTTTGTATTTTTCTCCTTTTTTGAATCTTAATGTAAATAAATAAAAGATATATACTTTTTATTTTGTTCATCTTTACTCTCTATCTCCATCTTTGGTTAGAAACCATATAATCAACAGACTTGTTTTGTTGGCAAATATTAGTAATAAAGTTAAGCAAAACTGCATGACATTTTGCAGTTATCTCCACAAATATAACTTCACAAGATTTCTATCCATGTAGAATTTGTAAACAATTATATGACTGTAAAATTAAATAATTATTGATTATTAACATGTTATATTATAAAATTTGTTCATATCAGTCTTTAAAATTACAGATTAATACATTAGTTAGTACAATTAATTTTATGTTAGCAGACTTTAAATATTAGTAAATAGTGGCTATTTCATGGAATTTTTATTATGAGATTTTCCTCCATTAACTTTTTCTTGCTTGTTTTCAGGTAAATATAAAAGCTTTCCAAGTATTTGGCAGTAATATGTTGCTGTCAATGAATGAAGCTCATATGACTGTAAAAACAATTTGTGATCATTTTCTTGGTCAGCAAATATAGTGTAACATATTTGTTGATCCCATTGTAATGGAAACTATAAACATATTTTATGAGATGCTTTCAGCCAAGCCCTGATAAAAATATGATCAGCTAATCCTCTCTTGAAGGCAGACAGCTGTAACATAACTATTGATCCACAATTGATTTTTTTCTTATTTTACATGCATATTTTTCTTGCTGTTAGCAAAGTCTTAATATTATCTCATTAAACAAAATTAAGATTTAAAGCAGGTGTTCACAATTGGCTTTACAAGCTCTTTGTATTCATTTCATAGAACTCTGAATAACTTGACTTTTATTTGTTATACTTGCCACTATGTTTCTATTGGCTAATACCTAAAAAATTAAGAATCATACCTTTATATTTTTAAATTACTCCTAAAAAGAAGGTAAATTTCTAAGTTTTTAATTCTGACCAAAATGAGCTTATAAAAGTTGCATGGCTTGTGAAAAAAGGGATCTACATAATTGGCAGAATACAATCTTAATTCTAAATAACAAACATTATGAAATGTATATGTTTTATACTTAAATCATATATTCCCAGCTGTTAGAGAACTTTGAGAACTTTCATTTAAAATCTTAGCTACATTTAAATTTCAGAAAATTAATCAAGATGAAAAAAAACAGGATCTTTATTATATGCTAAAGTAACTCATGGATTATTGGTGTTATATATGGTAACAGCAACAAGATTATTACATGCACAATGATGAATAATATAGAAATAACCTCAACAGAGGATGAATAGCAAAGATGGTAGAACTTTACAGAAATTGCTAAATTAAATTGTTTGATATAAAAGACTAGAAACTAGTGATTTCTGAATTTACTAACTTTATATGTTGTATATGTATATGAGGAGATGGGAATTATGTTATGTAATTGTGAAGAGGGAAATAGTATCAAGTATTGTCTATAACTGTTGCAAGGAAAATCATAAATTCCTTTTTAAATACCTTTTCTTCACTTTATTTTGTTCTTTATCTTTTGTACTTTTATTTTTGTATTTATTTTTTAACTTTGTAAAAGATTCTTTAATAACAATTATTTTTAAAAAAGATATATGCTAAAGCAACATATATGGAAGTGCTGAAAGGGAATTTCTGTGTTGGGATACATTGGTTAACATAATCCATACTTCTCCTAGAATATTAGGGAAATGAAAACCAATATAATTCATTCTACATGAACTTTCCAATTCAATGGATCATTTAGAAAAGTAAAAAAGAATCATTTCCTTTTTCTGTAACATTGTATAGGCATTATGCATGTTTTAGAGAATATTAATCACAGCATTGTATATTCTATTTCTCTTCAAAATATCTAACAGTTTATCAATAAGCAAATTGTTTAATTGAACAACCATAGAGTGTTTATTGTGTATCTGTTGATATATTTTTTAACACAACCGCCATTTTTTACTGAGTGCCAATAAATACATTGACAAAAATTTTGATGGGGGAATGGAGTGGGAGTAAATTATATTCTAAAATGTTTGAATTTAGCACATATACCATGATCTTCCATATTTTTCAAAGCAGACAAATGATTCAAAAAGCAGCTAAGTGGACTTGTCTAAGAAACTAATCTAGTTCTATCTGTCTTATGCAGCAATTGATTCTACCTTAAATTTAGGGATATATTTCTTAATTTGAGCTAGGATTTAATTTGATTGTTAGTCATATTATATTAATTCATATCTCATATTACTATAAAATGAATCTTCTTCAAGTCAGTAAGACTGGTTCGAGTTTGGTTCAATATATTTAAGAACAATACAACACAGATTTAAGAGCAAGACTTGCAATTGGCATGTTCATGAATAGTAGATATCTACTACTTATCACAGAGGTTGGAAATAGCCAGGGGCTTTCACCATTTGCTCAGGCAACCCTCTACAGCTTGAACAGAACACAGATAATATCCTATAATTTACTTTAAAAGAGTATTCTTTCTGTATAGAAAGAACTGACATATTTTTGCTTCCAGGAAGGAAATGTAATACACCCCCTTGAAGTATTAGCAGCAAAAATAAATTTGAAAATTCAGTTGTACAAGAGAGGCAGGCACTCTTTATCAATATCACTACTATCACAATATCGCTAATATATCAGCAATCCTCTGTGATATATTTTAAAAAGCTCAAATGTGGTAAATATTGCAGTGACTCCTGCTAGTGCTTGTTACTGGTAATTTTGGGCCAAGAGCCTCAGATTCAGGAAGTAAGTGTCTGAGCTCCTTTTATGTTCCCTCTAACACAGAGAGAGGTAAATCCAAACAAATCTCTTTTATTAAAGGTATGCTAGCTAAGGAAAAAAACTGTATTTAGGTTTATATTCTATGCAAATGTGTATCTTATTTCTCAGTTTTAATCATTACAAACATTGAACATAATGGTGATGCACACACAGCCCACATAAACTGACCACATGGACCTCTAAATCTAAATAATAAAACTTCTTCCATCTTTATATAGTATTCCCTAGGGAAATGTATTTTACACTGTTAAGAATTAGATGCATCCAATTTTTTTCTTATACCATCAAGCTTTAATACATATCATTGAAAATTCCTGTGACAGCTTGACAAATCCCCTTATCCCTCACAAATTAATCTAATAAATAAAATAAAAATTTGGGGTGCGATCATTTTTTTAAAAATCAGCAAAAACTAATTCTAGCAGGTGTTACCTAACCTACAGAAAAAAGAATGTACATGAAGTCCGACAGTTTCCAGTCAGGTCTTGTTCCCATAACTGACCTACATAGAGAAACTGATTAAAAGTATCTGCAGCCTTTCAGAGATGGATGGAAGAAGAAAAGGAAGAATCATTTAGCAAGGGGGGAAAAATGGGCCAGACATTTAGAAGCCACAGGACCCCTAAAGTGCAGTCTTTGTAATCTCCAAGTTTCCTATTTGACTGGCAATAGCATCATGAATAGCTTAGAGTTCTGTGTTAATTTATATTAAGTATAATCTCCATTAGGTCTAAGGTTTCTTCCAAATATATATCTATTATTCGCCATTCTTCTAGGCCAGTTTTATTCAACCTTGGCAACTTTAAGATATTTAGGTGTCAACTCTCAAAATTGTGCAATGTGTAGATACATGTTAATCCTGGCAACTATGTTTTCTTTAGCAATTTTAGCTTCCTAAATTATTTTCTTTTCATATTTTATGATATCTTGATTCAGACTGTTTAATATCTATGTATTTCCTGCCTCTGTTTAAGAAACTGTTATGTCAGAGTAGTAAGTTATATTAACATGCATTAAATAACAGGGATTCTTTTCAAATTTAGTTTTTGCAATGATAAACTTTCTTTCTCTCTTAATTCTTTGCAGGGTACATACCCAGTTATTTAGACAAGGATGAGTTATGTGTTGTTTGTGGTGACAAGGCCACTGGATATCACTATCGTTGTATCACTTGTGAAGGTTGCAAGGTAATGATAGCAGTGTAAATGAATAAGAGCTAGAAATCATAAGCTAGTTTGATCTCCTATTATAGATATCACATTGGTTTAAATGCCATGTAGAGACAGCATATGTTATATATAACAAAACAAGAATATTCCTTTTATAATATCACAAAATAATGTTTGTGCTTGCAATAGAAAAAAGGCTCCCATTTTATTGATTGATTTTAGAATTTTAAAATACAATAACAATAAAAAATCATATGAGGTATAAGAAAAAGAAAATACAGTCTAGAATTACGACTTCCTCTCTTCTTTTTATTGATTAGTTGCAGTCTTACTCTTTTACCTCCCTCTTTTTTGTAATTATCTTCACAGAAAGAAGGATCTCAACATTTTCAAAAACTTGTTTTTTTCTGGATTTTTTTAGCAAGGCATTATATAGCAGTATAAGTTCCTTGGAACAATAATGTTTTATGACTGAAGGCAAATATCTCAGGATAATGTTTCAGGATCCAATCTGAGTCAGTCACCAGGTCCAGAGATTTAATCCGCCAATCTTTCGACTCCTGCTGGAGCCCATCCTCAGGGAACTTCTTTTTACCAGAATGTGTGTTTTGGGCTATTCTGTGCATAATATTTATGTGTACATAAATACTAGTCTGCACTAGCACTAGTCTGAAAGCTTGCAAGACTAAACGTCTGGTCCCAGTGACCGATTCGGATTGGATCCTGCAGTGTTTTATATAAGAAATTAGTTGTACTGACTGGGATTATGTTTTCCTTGCTGTCCTTTACCTTCGGTCCTTTATTAATGACTTGGAATTGAGTCCTGTTCTCTCAAGGCCACGCATCAAACGTATCTTCCTTTGTAGCCACCACCAGCTATAAGTTTATGTAAATTTTAAAGCAGAAGTGGGCAAGGATTTTTTTTTCTACAGCTGCAAAGTGAAAGATGGTGACATGGTGACTAGTAACCACTAAAAGCAAAGAAAGAATTTTAATTAATTTTTTGTGATAGAGTTCAGGATACTTATTTTTTAATAAAAATAACAATCGTTGTGCTAAATCTGTCAGAGATGTATGCAATATATTATTTATTTAGCTTAAAATAAGTTATTTGCTACTAAATTCTACTAACATGTTCTTAGGGGCTTCCAAAGGCCTCAAGCTGGCCACTAGTTATGCTGTAAAAATATTTGGAAACTGGATTTTTCCTGCATCTGCCTCATTGATAAATAAATGAAACAGTTCACACATCACACTAAGTCAAACTACATAATGGCTTAATGCAGTGTGTGAATTAGCCATCTTTAGGATGCAATAAATTTTGCTAATGTATTTTATAAATCACTTTGTAATAGCATTCTTAAATAACAGGTCTTTGTTTCATAATCCTCCTAATAAAATTGTTAATCAATTTATAATTAATTAAATAAATCATATAATTTATTGCACCAAAGAGTTTTTCATTTTTAATTTTAGTTCTGTAGCATACTGTCAAAGTGGTACCAGGTATGTGGCCATTGATTTCACTGAGTCTATAATTCATCTTCAAAACTGTAATAGAGGTTCTGCTCTCTTTAGAGCTAGTTTCAGCTTCTGGTTTCTTCATACATCAGCATAGCAGATGGAAATGAGATATTGTTTTATATACATTAGGTTAGCCTTAAAAGAGATTTCAATGTATGTTATAAACAAAAAGTATAGCTAAGCCATTCTTATACATTTCAGATAAATAAATTACAGCCTAGAAAATACTCTTGGGATCTGTTTGGTCAAAATGTCTGTGAACTGAATCCATCTAAAGTGTCATGATATACAATCTAATTTAATACCTATCTAATGTGCATTCAAATTCCATCCATCAGTAACATTACAGTTTACCAGAAGGTAATTTTTTACAGAGGTCACAGACTACTTGTAGGAGTAGGATGTCAGCAGTATACAAGAATTACTAATCATTATTTTCTTTTAGAAAACAGTCCATGAACCGGAAAAATCCATCAGACCTTTTAATCTTCTATCCTTTAAATCAGCTCATTTATAGTAACTAAACAAAAGTTGAGTAGAGTACAATTTCTCCAACTAAATAGTTGAAATCAGGTGCAGTATGAGGCATGTTCTTATTTGTCAGGAGTTACTTCTAAAGTTATCTTTTAAAAAATTAAATAAGATGTAAAACTGATGCCTAACTTAATATTATAGTTAAGCTCCAAATTCCCAGTAGACAGAGCGACCAAAGAAAATATAATTCCAGAATCATATCACATATTCTTAAGGGTTTATAAATAAATACCAAAGTAAAATGTCCTGCATACTTTATACAGAAAAATCAGTGATTTTGTAAAATTTTGTAAATTCTTATTCACACAGGGATTTTTCCGAAGAACAATTCAAAAAAATCTTCATCCAACTTACTCCTGTAAATACGAAGGAAAATGTGTAATAGACAAAGTCACAAGAAACCAATGCCAGGAATGTCGCTTCAAGAAATGCATCTATGTTGGCATGGCAACAGATTGTAAGCTTTTTAAAATTTCCTATTTGTTTTCATTAGATATGTTTATTTCAATTTTTGTGATAATCAGTTTTTTATTCCAATTTTTAATTTATATTCTTATATGCCAGTTGAAAATATTGATTAATTTTTTCTGAGCTTTAATTTTCTGTTAACTCTTGAAAAGATTATGCTTTCTTCTGGCCAAATGATTTTATGCAATATTAAGAAGATGAACAATTTCTATCACAGAAGTGGGAAGATTTCTGAGCAAAGTCCTGCAAAGGAGGAGGGGAAAAAATCAAGCTTAAAGATTTGGGAAAATGGGAAGTTGGATAATGTTGCATGAGTCATCCTGCGGTTGTTTGTTTTATTTTTAGCCAGAAGGAAAGGGAACACTATTTCACTTCTAAGAAAATAGAATATATGGCTGCAAAATTAACTCTTTGCAAGGTTGTATTCCCAAAGTTTCTCAGCAAATTTGCAGGAGCATCTTAATTAATGTGAATTGGAGTAATTATAATTAAAAATTATAGCCTCAGCATATTAGTCTTAATGGTTTATAAGAATATAAACAAAAGTCATATTAAAAATATTAAAGTAATCCATTTTTTTCAGAACTTCTATATGTGTAAAGAGGTGTATAATTGTTTAAATACATATAAAAAAAATTTCAAGCTACTTAGCTCATGAATAATTAAATTACTAATTATGATGTCTATATATGATCTTAATATCCCAGGTAATATACTTCTAAATACTATTTGTTGAGCAATATAAGACTGGAACAGTAGCACTGTGCTCAATAACTGTCTGGGTCCCTCTAAATATTTAGTAGAAGCTGTACGCTATTTTTGGTAGTGCTTGCTCTGATCCAACAGGATTTTACGTAGGTGCTTATGCTTATGTCTATTCTGATTAGCAATGTCTCTTCAGGTATGAAAGTTAGGTTTTTTATATACCTCTCCTTCTTCCTTTTAATTAAAAAGTTGCATGCTAAATGGGTTCTGTACCATTGAGTAGGCATGATTAGACACAATAATTTTGGACAGCATATTTCCATGCAGCATTTTTTCTCTAGATTTGGGATAAAAGGTTAGTGGTAAAATGCTTTATCATTTAGTGATAAAGAGATAAAGAGTGATAAAGAGTTACTTTCTTAGAGGTATATCTTGACCAGAAATCTCATTTTCTGTCTTCTCCACTGTGTCATATAATATGGTAGCAATAGCACTTAGACTTATATACCGCTCCATAGTGCTTTATAGCACTTTCTGAGTGGTTTACAATGTTAGCATATTGTCAATAATCTAGGTCCTTTTTACCAATCTCAGAAGGATGGAGGGCTGAGTCAATGTCGAACCTTGGGATCGAACTCCAGACTGATTATCCCTTTTTCCCAATCTTTACAATGGCTAGCCTGCCAACTATGGAAGATATGTTCTCACACCAGAGTCTCTGGGCAATTGCCATGTCACTGAGGCAGGCTAAAGATAGATTAAGATGGAAACAAGTGTTTTCAGTAAAAAATACTACAAGACTTCCACCATGAAAACATCTTGATTCAATGGAGGAAGAGTCTGAAAGAAATTGGCAACCTGTAGGGCCCCAACTGGCCTGCCATAAGACCATCCATCCGAGATGATCATAGCCTTTGTATATCTGTGGCCATTTCTCTTTTGGCTCTTGGAAAGAACGAAGTGTTGTTTGGCAGCCATTTTTTCTCTTTTTGCCTGGCGTAAATATGAGTCCCTTATGAAAGTTGTACTGTATTCTTTAAGGTTAATATTCCTATCAGCAATCTCCCTATTGTAACCTCTATGATTGTGGGGGACCCCACTGCTCCAGCATTAGCAGTTTTCCCCAGCAGCATAAAAGAACAACGATCACTATCATCAGCATTAAGGAATCTGTGCTAGGGCAGGGGCAGAAAGGAAGTTGACAGAGAATGGGAAGGGTCTGTCCCTTCTCTCTCAATAATACAATAAACAGTAGTAGAAATCATTGTTCATACTCTCATGTGAGGGCAGTGACTCTCCATATTTTCTCCAGTTTTCCAGGACAGGAGAATACATCTTCACGGTATGGGAAAGGCCTCATCGATGTCCTTGCCATATATTCAGTGGCTATGTGAAGAGAAAGTTTGTACTTAAGGCTCTTCTATATCACAGTCAATTGATGGTCAGCCAGGATTCTCTCTTTATGTGGTTGAACCCTTCATATATTCATAAGAGAGAACCTTCATGTAAAGCTATTTCATCTTAGCCTCACAGTCAGGTGATGGCTGATAGTGGAATAGCTGCATGATTTCCTCATATTTCATTGGATATGGAAAATAATGTGATTATCCCAGCTACTTCTGCATTCTTTCTCATTTTGAAAAGTACACAAAACTGAAATATTTTATCATAAGATTCTGTGTCTCATCTTTTGATCTTGAAGACATGATACCCTTCTAGGAGATCTGACCAGGATTTTTTTTGAAGCTCAATTTGCAATAGCATAGAATAGGCCAAACATAATCGTATTGAAATATTTTGTTTTTCTCCATGAATTTCCATTATTTGGAGTTCACTTGGATTTGGAAGATGTGCGTGATTAGTTATAAAATCTCCAGATTTTGCCCTGGCTAATCATCCTGTTATTTGTCCACTACCAATCATTCCTACTCAATTATTCAGGTATTACCTGAATAATCAAAAGACATAGTGAGGTCTATTTCTAGTCTCCTTTTCTGTAATGTATTCTTTTCTCATTAGTGGTGTTGGATGACAGCAAACGATTAGCAAAAAGAAAACTGATTGAGGAAAATCGGGAGAAAAGACGTCGAGAAGAATTACAGAAAACAATAGGAGTGAAACCTGAACCAACAGATGAAGAATGGGAGCTTATTAAAATCGTTACAGAAGCACATGTGGCCACAAATGCACAAGGAAGTCACTGGAAACAGAAAAGGAAATTTTTGGTATGTGCTACTATTTAGAACTGCCTTTTCCTTATCCAGATGAGCTCTGTGATTAAAGTGTACGCCATAGTAAATGTACTTGCTCACCATTCATAGGATAGATTTTTGCCATCTTGATGGAAGAAGCCTAAAATCTATATTATAGGATTAATATAGCTAGAAATAAGCAAGGATCTCAAAATCCCTCTTCAAACTGCGGAAAGCAAATTCTAGCCCATCCATTTGCATTCTCACCCCATTCACTGCCACCCTTGAACTCCTCCCAGATGTAAATGCCACCCTAAGCTGCCAAAGGTTTACATAGATGGGAGTCCATTGCCCTCTATGTCTGAATTATATGACTGCATGCAATGCTTCTGCTTAATGTTCCCTGATATACTGGCCCTCCATTCATTTGTTTAACTGTGTTTTAATACCATTGTATTAGTGCATGTCATCATATTTTAAACCAGTGGGTAATAAATTAATAATACAGCATACTTATTATATGGAGAAAAGACTTTTGTTGTACCATGCAGTAATTATTTTTTAAAAATAGAACACAATAGATTATGAACATATGGTTATTTCTCACATAGTTATTGCAATAAGTAAACAAAAATCCTTAATAGTAATCCTCTGATAAAACTCCATGGAAACCACTGATGTCATTGGGACTATCATAGCATAGGGACTGTTATTTTTTTATATTCTTATGGCATGTTCTAATATTCAACTATTCTAGTTTAATAGAGGCCAAATATTACAAATTATTATCCTTATCCATTTTATATATTTTTTAACTTTCAAGTTATAAGCTCCTCCTACAGGAGAAGGATTTAGTTTTGGATAATGGTAGAATAATATAAGAATCATCAGTCCTTACTTTTAAAAAATGAAATATATTGTATTACTGGAGCTTTCAAGCATTCCATAATTTTCTCTGTTAGATGGAGAGAATTCTAAACCAACAGGTTAAATTTTTTCAGTCAAAGGTCCACAGTCAAAAATGGGTTAGAACAGAATAAAAAAATGGGTAGAAGCAAGGTTAAAAAAAACTAAATTATATTAATTAAAGTTTATGATCTTATATGATTATTTCCAATTTATTTACAATTTTTGCTCCTATCATATTAAAAACTATAATTCACTAATACCCTTAGAGGGCATGAACAATCGGAGGTTGTGCACCTTCTAAACTAAATGGAAAAAACTAAAACAACATACAGTGAGTCTAGTCACTTTTAGGAAGTTTTTGAAAAATGAAAAATGAAGTTTAAACGTTCAAATTATAGGTTATCACAATGATTTTCCTACGTTAAATACATTAAAGAAGGGCAAGAAAAATAGGTTATTTTTGCCTCAGGGAATAGAAATGTAATTATATTAAATGATGAAAAGACAGTTTCCAGTTGAATGTTACAAAATGTTTCCCAATAGTGAGAGCTAATTGATTGTCAAACTAATTACTAAGGCACTGATGTGCTGCACTTCCCCTGGCCCCATCCATACAGCTCCTTGCCCTGAATGAAGACAACCCATTATTTCTAGAGGATATGTACTTACAGCAGTACAGTATATCATCAGCCCACAGTGGAGGCAGTCCAAATATACTTTCTTCTTGAAGTGTTTTTCCTTGTTATCTCAATTCAAGATCTTCCATCTGGACAATCATGGTGCATGAAGGAGAATGCTAGGAGATGATACAGCATGAAGAGCAATCTGCTTGGCTTCAGTTGATCCAGCAGGTCTTTTGTGGAACTATCAAATTCTGTTTCATTGACTGGACTGATTTGGTTGTGAGGGCTTTCACTATCACTCTATTTTCCCTGTTGTAACTGGGTTAATCAGGCAGAGAATGGAAAGCCCTAAAATTATTACCCCATCCTTGGCTAAATGAATTTAATTGGAAGTGTAATTGAAAATATGTGACTGTTGCAGTTCTTTGGCCTGTGAAATGAGACATTGCCTTTCCAGTGGCTCCTGTTCTTAACAAAGCCCTGGTCCTTTATTTCATCTCTTCACATAATATTCTTAGAATAGTTTACAGTTCCTAAATAATTCCCAAAGCAAAATCTTTGCTCAAGCTACATTTTTCAGCACTTAGATGGCTGCCAAACACACAAACTAATCTGTTTGCTGCCCTCTAGTGGGTTATCTATCAACCCATGATAATAAGGAATAAATCATTCCATCAGTGGAATAAAGAAAGTAGGGAAAAAATAGTAGTGCATGGAATAACTAGAGCATGTCGGTTGGAGAAGTTAATTTAGAGTATTTGTTTAAATAATTTATAAGAGTTTCTTATTTTCTTCTAATTGTAAAATCATACAACACGGACAAATATATATCACACAAATAAACAAATACACTAAGTATAATAATTTAATATTAATATAAATAGCTGTCAATAGCAAGATCAGAAAATAACTATATAAATTGTTCACAGAAATTACTAGGTGACATAATTTCAATGACGATAACAGATAACCCTCATCTTTCAGTCTTTCATTTAATGACCTTCCAAAGTTACGACAGCTCTGAAAAAGTGATCTATGATTGGTCCTTGCACTTACTACCAACAGTGTCTCCACAGTCATGTGATCAAAATGTGGGCAGTTCAGGTTCTTGGTAGCTGACATGAATTTATGACAGTTGAGGCATGACATGATAATCATTTGTGAGCTTTCTAGGAGGCTTCCAAAAAGCAAAGTGAGTGGGGAATCTGGATTTACTTAATGACCATGTGATTTGCTTAACAATCATAGCAAAAAAGGTTATAAAATTGGGCACAGCTTACTTAATGACTGCATTGCTTAGCAATGGAAATGATGGCCCCAATTGTTGTAAATTAAGTACTGTCTGTAATCCATATTACCGTTTTAATTCATAGATACTGAATGTTAACACCAGAAACTTTTATGGGAACTTTTTAATGTGCTGAAATATAGGAAAAGTATACATATCCATGTACAGAGTTTTTTTGACATAAATATAAATTAAAAACTAGGCTCTAAGACAGGTAATTGACTACTGCTATAAAGAAAATTCTGTGTCAGATAATAGATAATTTATAAATAGTATACACTATTTTTATTTTCTTTTGATTGAATCTATATCTCACATTGTTATGTATCAGCTTCTTTATGGATTTGAACTAGACAAGTATTTGAATTTGGATTCCAAGTACATGGATTCTAAAAAAAACCCCACACATCTGGTACTATTCAGGTGCAGAAATTATCTTTGACTTGAACTCTACTAGTAAATAAAACCTTAATTGAGCAACAAAATTGTTTCTTAGTAAATATTTGAAATTCTAGAAGGATCCTAAAGGAGGAAAGTGAAATTGCACTTCTGATCAATCCTGAGATTCCATAAGGGAATAGGAAACTGGGTCCAGGTCATTTCCTCAATCAGAACATCCTATTTAAGGACATAATACTGGTTATGAATATGTTGGAAGAGTACCAACACTAAAATTATATTTATTTTAAATATAAGCTAAAAATTCTAGAATAGGTATCCTTCCTGTGTTGCAGCAGAATACTGCATAATCTTGTGTATCTTTGTGCTTTGGTGATGCAGTCTTTTGGGAAGACATCTGAAGAAATTGGAACTGACTTGTCAACAGACCTTGGAAACTTTTCTTGTTTCTTCTAATTTTAACTTAGATATAGCCATAGAATTGTAAGCCAGTTTTCCTTTCCAAGAAATTAGAATTGATTGATTGATTGATTATGTGCCATCAAGCCAGTGTCAACTCTTAGCAACTACAAAGATTTTCTCCATTATGATCTGTCCCCAACCCTGTCTTTCAGGTATTCCAACAATGCATCTTAATTTAAATATCAGGGTATGGATTGTACAAATCATACAGCTTAAGGTTAAGAGACAGGAAATAGAATCTTATACAACTTTGATCTGAATCTCCAAACTTAATTCCATTTTCAAAAACAGGGCAGGTAACAAAAAGTTGAAAAGTCCTTACTGATTTCTTTCCTATCTATTTATCTTATCTGTTAGGCTGTTCCAGCTGAAGAAATATCCTTTGTTTGTCACGATCTTTCAGTGAAGAGTAGTGATCAAAAAACAAAGGGAATAACAGTACATAAACACGTAGTAACTATACAAATGCATACACACGTAGTAACTATACAAATGCATACATACATATCCATATACTGTATATACATAATAAACATAAGAAATACAGTTTATGCAAGAGTTAATATGGGTTATCTTTTTAGTTTTCAAGGGAAGAATATTCTTAGATGGGCTAGGGTACAGCCTTAGATTTAGGTTTTCATATACAAGCTGCCACACTGCTTCCATTATTTTTTTTTAAATTAGCAAGTAGTTATTACACTTGCAGTATACACAGATTAGTACACAAGTAATCACTGGTATCTCAAAACATATGTACATGGATGTAAATTTATCTTACACAGTAGCCAAGACTTAAAATTAAGCAAAATTAAGTTGCCAACATTGCACGGTTTTAAAAAGAATCCATATTTATGGTAAATAAATTACATTCTTACAATGTTTTTGTTTTCTGTTGTTAGCCAGAGGATATTGGACAAGCACCAATAGTAAATGCCCCAGAAGGTGGGAAAGTAGATTTAGAAGCTTTCAGCCAGTTTACAAAAATTATCACACCAGCAATCACAAGAGTGGTGGATTTTGCCAAAAAGTTGCCTATGTTCTGTGAGGTATGAATTCCTTTTCTATTTAATTTGATAGCATTTTTATTGTTGATATTATTGTTGTTGTCCATAGATGTTTTGTATTATCTTATAATAGTTCAGAACGAAAAAAAAAGAAAAATTATGGTCCATGTTGTGCATATAGGCACCCAATACAAGTGGGCTAAAATAAAGCATCCTTTGACAGCACAGATCAGACCTTATCTTAGAGTTTTCAGTGATTTTTCCAGCGGTAATAAGAGTATTTTCATTCTGGATCTTTCCCTGTTACTATACTTAATTCAATCTTGCCCCTTTTGGACGGAATTTGGACAGTTTAAAATATCCTTAAGTACCTGTAAATGGGCAAAACAAATTCCACCAACACCCTGAAAAATGTCATTCATTTCTTTTTCTAGTATCATCACAGTATCACCAGGTGGCTTTCTGTAGCCCTTCCAAAGTCAGACATCAGTTTTGCAGGCCTAAACTCATGAAGTACTGTCTATCTCTGGTGTAAAGTAGCAACATGAATTCATTCAAAGGGCCAGAAACTGCATTTATGATGTATGCTAGGCTCTCAGAATTTTGACTTACTATTTACCAAGATAGGATTTGATCTCTCTGTGCCATTATGTCTCCTTAGAATTAAAAGGAAGTTATAAAAATACATGGACCACTCTTCTTTATCTAAGTGAATGATAATAATTCAAATCAAAGTAGAATTTAATATGGAGTAAACCATCATTCAAATGTAGGTCCTATATAACTGAACAGCCTATAGTCATTTTTGCAACAAACTATAGAGCATACTTAAGAAAGAGCATATCTTTTCCAAGTTATTTTTGTATATATCAGACATGCCGTGAAGAGGGGTCATTTTATGGATAAATAATGTATTTTTATCATGCTTAACATTTGGTAGTGATCATTTTGTTACTTCCAGTTTAATAGCTTAGAATGGCTACCTTTTTCTTTTAGTAAAACTATATACCTTTATTTCTATTGCCTAACTCAAAAGAACCATTCTCACTGCAGTCTAATTTTTTCCCCACCTTGTTTTGCAAGCCCTTTGGAAAAGAGAAGCTTAATTTGCTGGCTGTGGGTTCATATTAAGACCTTGCCTGCTGCTTCTCTTTCCCATGGTCCTTTTCCTACAACCCCCATTACATTCCAATGTAGAAAACTGTTTGGTGCACAATGGCAGTAGGCCATTATCCAGAATATTGTTGCTGCTATAAGAACCTGGCCATGTACTTCCTTACACCATTTCCTTGCCCTGACCATTCTTTCTGAGGATAGAGGAGGAGAAAAGGATTACACTCAAATTGATGCTGTTTTCCCTGGAGAAGATGAAAGAGATGAGGGCAGGCCCATAAATGAATAGCTTAATATGGATTACATAGAACATAGAATATGCCTATATTGGGCTTCTCTTTTCATATTATAATAAACAAAGTGTGTTCAATCCAAATTGAAACTATTTGCCCACTCCCATTACATATAATTTTTGGATAGCTTTCATGAGACACGGCACCTAAGATTAAATGCTTAAGTTTTTCATTGTGTGGTAATGTCAGTTCAGATATGTCTACTTTGTTTGCTTATTTATTTAATTTACTTGCTGCCCATCTCACTAACCAAAGCAATTCTGGGCAGCCTACATGCATTCTTCAACTTTTCAAAAAGGGAGAATTGACAGTACACATTTAGCATACCATATAATTTGCCTATTAGTGGTATATGTGTGAAATAGAACAGTTTTTCAGAGCCTACTCAACCTGAACAGAAGCATCTTCTGATATAATCCTAATCTAAACATGTTAAACTTTCATAGACTACGTGACTGATGATTTTTGCAATTGGAGTTGGCATGAAACAAAACAAAAATGTTAATCCAAATGTCAGGTTCAAAATACCCACTCTTCAGATGATATTGTTAAACAGGGAATGGGGAGGAAAATTATGGCCCTCCAGATGTTACTGAGCTGCCACTATCCCTTAGCATAGTCTGCAAGCTACCTGGACACTGAGAGTCTTAATTTAGTGATATGGAAGATATATAGTCATTATATTTTACAACATTCCTTTGTATGACACTGAATTATTAGATCTGTTCTTTAACAAACTTGTTCCACATTGGGTAGCAATATTATTTAGATGTATTTCATCAATTTATCTTTTTTTCTGAACAATTAAAGCAGGATTTAGAGCATTTCAATAAGGAAATATACTAAGCTCTGTGATTAAAGATGACTGGAAATATAATGGTACAGATATATTTTTAAAAGCACTGATTTGAAAGCACAGCATCTAGTACTAGATTGCAAAGAAACAGCGCAGATGCTGTCCATATCTTTGCTGAACTTCTGTTCATGTTATGCTCCCATTAGGAGTCCTATGCCATTGAACCCCATTGAAATTCAGAGCAAAATCAACTTTTCCTCTCCAGGATGATCTGACTCAGATTGCAGGAGTTTGCTGGATGTTAGGTAGCCAACAAGAAACCTTCAGTCCAATCAGCAAACAAGAGCAAGAGGAACATATAATATTCTTACTGTTAGAGAGCAGTGAGAATTACAGTTTTCAACATAATAGTTTAGCTATGGTTTCCTAAACTAGATCAGACATGTCAAACTCGCAACGTCACGTGACATTGCACAACGTATCGGGACAGTTTTGCCATTGCTGGCAATGGGGTGGGTACGGCTTCCGGATGATGTGTCTGGCCCGCGGGCCGGCAGTTTGACACCCCTGCACTAGATATACCCATCTCAAGATGTTTCTGAAGCTCACAGTTAATCCTCTATTGCTTTCATTGTTTGTCTTTCTTTCTTTCTTTCTTTCTTTCTTTATTTATTTATTTATTTATTTATTTATTTATTTATTTCTCTTTCTTTTTTTCTCTTTCTCTCTCTTACTGTTTTAAAATGTGTTTCAGTGCTTTTTAGCTTACAGGGGGAAAATGAATGGCTTGTCTTTAAGTTTTCATCAAAAAGCACTGGAATACATTTTAAGTACATATAAAGTACTGCCACAGAATCCACAAGTTTGTGTCAAAAGCACTGAAGTACATCAGATACATATAAAATACTGCCATTTCAGCTGTAAATAACAGTTTTTGTTCATTAGAGAACAACAGTAAAAAGAAACGTAACAGTTGGTATTTTAGCAAAATTGGAGATTGATTTTAGAATATTTTCCCTCAAACTGGCTCCAGGGCTGCTTTCTGTTATACGTCCTACTAAAAGAGATAATAAGCTCAGGTTGGCTACTATTTGGTTAAGGAACATTATTCATTTATTCTGTAGTTTTCACCTGTTTTGTAAAATTCTACTCCTTCACAGAAACATATGGCACAAGGCTGATAGCAATATGTACTGAAGGAATTGTATTAATTTCAAAATGATCTCAGAATAAATATTGATAATTTATCCCTCAATTTTCCTATTTTATTCCTTATTTATATTGTTAAGAAACAACATTACTTTCTTTGAGAATGAATATGGTTGTAGTATCTTTCATTATGGCTCCCTTTCCAGTATAGATTGTTTTGCCTGTTCTTCAGGAATGTCAATTATAGTTCAATTAGGCTATCAGTAAATCAATCACTGTACTCCTCAAGCTGACAAATGAAGAAAAGAAGAGGAGGAGGAGGAAGAAGAGGAGAAGAAGGGGAAAACATAATATTTGTTTTTCCATATGAAGTCTTGTTTTAAATTATTTTTTTACTTTACTTATTTTGTCTTTTTCTAAGCCCAACTACTTGCCAACAATTCTTCTGTCATTAAAATATGGCTTTCAATTTATGAAGGCAAACTTTTGTTGCTTCTAGAATGGTTTTGCAATGCTAAATGTAATCACTACGTCTGTAAAAATAATTTCTCCTTCCTCACTGAACAGACAGAGGAAGAAAGCATTCATAGTTAAAAATAAATATCTTCAGATGTAACCACATGAAAGGAGACTTTTATTAGCACAATTAATTACCATATAACACACAAAATCAGGATGGTATCCTTCTCTGAATATTCTGTTGATTTCTATTTCTAATCTATAGAATTGGCAGTTTATAAACTGGTTTAATAATAATGCTCAATGAAAAAATATTTTGAGTACAAAGTTGCCAATTTTATTCACTTTCCAGTCACCACCATCATGAATCCTAACAAAAATCAAATTTAAAAATTACTTATAGATTGGCTTTTGGTCAGCCATTTACCATGTAGGAGAAATTCCAGGTGTACTGTGTATATATATGCTGATATTCCTCTAAGCAGATCTTAACAGTTTTAAAAGTTTGGAATTAACAGGGCTTCCAAATGGATGGTTTCAGGCAAAGGTATTGTATAGCTGTTCCATCTTTCTCCTTTTTGAAAATTTTCTATGGAAATTAAAGTGAAAGAAGAAAATATTATTAACAACTGTGTAAAGGACCCAATCTTCTGTGAATATAGCAGGGATAGTCTCTAGATTTACCTCATAATGGGGAAGATTTGTTTTTATGTTTGTTTTTATTATGCATAAAAGTATTTTTTTTCTGTGGGAAAATTTATTCCACCTGCAATTATTTGCAGCTGCCATGTGAAGATCAAATTATACTTCTGAAAGGTTGTTGCATGGAGATCATGTCCCTCAGAGCAGCAGTGCGCTATGACCCAGAAAGTGAGACCTTAACACTAAATGGAGAAATGGCAGTAACAAGAGGCCAGTTGAAAAATGGGGGTCTTGGTGTAGTATCAGATGCCATTTTTGACTTGGGTATGTCGCTATCATCATTTAACCTTGATGACACAGAAGTTGCTCTTCTTCAGGCTGTACTGCTGATGTCTTCAGGTGAGTGTGAACATTTTTAAAAATATTATGAATCAACATCCTTACTTGTTAAGGATTCTGTAAACCTTATAGAAAGATTAACACAAACTTTTTCAAACAAAAATAATAAAAATTAGAGAACACTGTTAAAAATCATTTATTATACAATGCTGATTTTGTGGCATTCAGGAACTTTAGTACAACAGATTTTCCTTAATGAGTTTGGAGACAGATCTCCACAAAAACCTTTGCTATTTCAAGTGTTCCATTAGAAAGCAAGGGGCCAATTTTTCCCTATGTGGGCTCAAACTCTGTGATTTCCCATCCATTGGTAATGATAAAAGAGGAAAGGAATGGAACCACAAAGAAACAATCATTCAACAACTGCACTTCCTTCTTAGAATAAAAAAACAACAATTTGTAAATCAATAACTTAAAAAAACTATCATACATGCTTTTATAATAATGTAGATATAATTGACAGTCTATACCATTCTTATCATGAGCAAACTTTGTTTTTGGAATTTTTTTTGTCTTTTGCTGATATACTTTGAGACGCTTAGGTTCTTTAGTGACATTAAATTGTGTGTGAGCACATGAGATTAACTGTATGTGAAGATACATGAGATTAGTTGTAGTGAGGCAAATTATCCAGCACTTTGCTATGTTTTCTGCATCCTATCCTTGCTCCTTAGCAGAGCCCAATCTTTTGTCTGCTTGTGATTGTGTATGAATATGGACCATAGAAAAGCATTACGGCATAATGTCTGCCATATGGACTAGCACGTAAAAGAATCCTGGGCAAAGCTTAACATGGTTGCTGTCTTAGCTATAGCAGATCAAATAGGTGTTAAGAATTTATTTTAAAATGATACTGTGAATTTTCCAATGCAGTGACCAAGGAAGTAGAAATAAAACATTGGCTTTTGCCCACCCCCCTTTTAATTTTTATATAGGTTTTTCTTGGTGGAGTTGCAAGGCCTTAAGTGTTATTTATGTCCTAATAGCTGTTGTTAATCCAGATGCCAGTGTGGTTTAGTGATTAGATCATATTCAGAATCTTCTTAACTCTGAAACTCTCATGTGGTCTGGAGTCAGTTGCTATCTCTCAGCCCTATTTTATCCTTTTCTTCTTCTCACAGAGCTCTGAGATGAACAATTCACATTGCTCTGAGCTCTTTGGGGGGGGGGGGGAAGTAGAGCAAAAGTAGAAAAGTCAAGAAAGGGATGTAGTTCACAGATCAATTTTAATGGAAAGAATGAAATCCTCACTATGACTTGAGAGGCTAGGAAGAAAGCTTAACTCCCTTACCACAAGCAAAATTGGTCTTCTAGAAATGTAATTACCATTCAGAAAAGAAGAAAAGAACTAGTCTTGCAAGAGACTTTATTTGGTTGTCATCCAACTGTTATAGCCTGTTGTTTTTGCAATGAATCCTGAACAAAAGAAAGAATACATAAGGAAAAAGGAATGTTCTGAAAGCTGGCAGCTCTCAAAAAACTGGAAGTAATAATGTAATCAAGTCATTAAAGAGACAACTTTCAGCCTATTTACTTCTCTCTCTCTCTCTGAGACAGAGCCTCTCCCTCCAGTGGGGGCTTACTGCACTACTTTTTAGTTTGTTTTCTTTTTTGTTTAAAAAGCACTTACATTTGCTGTTAAATTTCAGCAGCATTGTTTGGGTATGAATGCAGTGGACAGAATAATCCAAAGACCATGAAAAACCCTTCTAGACACAATATAGCTCACATATCGGTTTTATGGCAACTGAAATATTGCAACAGAGTTTCAATTTCAGCTTTAATAGAGTGAACTGTTGCATTATGTCATCCAAGTTAACAGATAATTGAGTTTTCCAGTGAATGCAACAGGTCCCAACTTCTGTCCAGTTTAAATATGCTCAGAGATCAGTTATCCACAGGGGTAAATTTTAATTTTGTGAGAATAGCTAGCACAACCAGGTAACACAAATCTCAGACATTTTTAAGCATATGATGCAAATTTTAAAAGGCAGAGCTTTGATCAGCTGATTGTAAGCACCATTTTGATATTGTTGACTCTGCCAAGACATACACACGCAAACACACACACACAGTCCACCACAGTTCATTTGGAATACCTCCCCCAAGAAACCCAGGCTTGCTTTTCCTATCAATAGTCCCTTTTCCCAAGCTACTAGTTCACAAGGATCAATGAAAGATTCAAGTTATGTAGCCTGGGGAAATGTAATGGAAGTAATATACTTTTTAAGGTGAATGAAAGCTTTTATTTTTTTAACTAAATCTTATATTTACAGATCGCCCAGGTCTTGTCAGCATTGAAAGAATAGAAAAGTGTCAAGAAAGTTTCCTCTTGGCGTTTGAACACTATATTAATTACAGAAAGCACCATATTGCACACTTTTGGCCAAAACTGCTGATGAAAGTGACAGACCTACGAATGATCGGAGCCTGCCATGCTAGCCGCTTCCTGCACATGAAGGTGGAATGCCCCACAGAACTCTTTCCTCCTTTGTTCTTGGAAGTGTTTGAGGATTAAAAAGACTGGAAACATTCTCAGAAATTCTATAGCACTACTGGGTGTCATTTCATTCCATTGCCTAGTTTTTTCTTCTTACTTTTGGTCCATTCCCATTTTGTACCACCTCCTTTGGAGGATTATTTTTAATAGGCATGAATGAATGAAGATATCCCTTCAATGCGGGTACTTGTCACAATTGCGTTTTTTGTGTGTCCTTTACTCCTTTCGATATGAATTCCTTGAGAGTTTAACCTCGAGAATTTTAAGTTTATTCACCAGCACTCAGGCGACCCATGTTTATACTCATTGTTTGGAGAGATATGGATAAAATATAAATAAATTGAGGAAGCAAGAAAATGGATAGATAAATCCTGCCATATTTTATACAGTATTAACTCACTTTCTGGACATGAGACTTATGCTGAGCAATTCAGAACAATCTAGCAAGTGTTAATCTTGCTGAAGATCAAATGAGATCAGTTGCAGTTATATACAACTTTAAATATAATTCAGATGTATTGAGTTCTCTGCAGTGTGCTCCCAGAACCAGGTATAGGATTGCAACTTTAGCTATGCCTAATTTCACCTTGCCGTGCTTAAGAATAGATAGTTTTATCCAAGTAAAACTCCCCCATAATCATAATTTTATCATCATTTTCAGGTTGTTATTTTAGAAATTCAGTTGCCGGTAATCCTCTTTTAATGGCTGCCATGTTTAGCAACTGTTCAATTACAGTGACACTGAAAAAGTAATTTATGATTGGTCCTTGCACTTATGACCATTGCAGCATCCCCATGTCATTGACATTTGAATGCTTTACACAGCATTCCACAGTCACATGATTGCCATTTGTGCATTTCACAGCCAGCTTCCATCACGCAGTTAATAAAAAAGCCAGCAGTAAAATCACAAGTTGTGGTCACGTGATATCTTGCTTTAATGACCATGGTGATTTCTTAGCAGTGGGAGTGACACCTTAAATCCACTACAGTCATATGATGCTTCACTTAATCAACCTGCCGATCTGAATTGTAGTTGTTTAGTGAGGGCCACTAAACCCCAAAATGCAGCCAGAGTCCTATTTTTCTCCCAGGTGAACACAGTTTCTCATGTCCTCATTTATTCAATCCAAAGCAAAAACAATACAGGAAGGGAATAAGTACATTTAAAATTTCCACAGAGCCAAGGCCCTTGATCTCTTTGCTTCTTAATGGTAATTTGGATACATTAGAGCAGGGGTGTCATATTCGCAATGTCACATGATGTCGCAACATATCACAATTTTTTTCTATCGCCGGCAATGGGATGGGCACATTTTTGCTATGATGCATCTGGCCCACAGGCCGGCAGTTTGACACCCCTGCATTAGAGTCATAGTTAACTATATTTCTCCCACTTGCCAAAAATTATTTTAATAAGTAACTGAGTCAGTAGGAAGATATACTACTACTATTCTCAGTAATTCTGGACCCTTGCCACTTATATGTTTTAAATATTGATATGATCATGATTTAAGGGGTTCCCTGGTTCCTCCATTTTGTCTTTTCTAGCAGATGCAATTCCTAAACCATAAAACATCTGTGCAATGAATTCTTCCCAATTTAATATGATACATCAGAAAGGTTTTCTCTGTCCTTCCCCCCCCCAACTCAACAAAAATTAATTCCAGTTATCTGTAATAAACCTTTTCACTCCCTTCTGTATAGTCGTATATCCTTTTTCTACCTATATACCGACACCCTTTCAGTGACTGTAAAGTACCCTGAATCTTAGGATTTGTGAATTGCATTTTATACAATCAAGAGATACGGGCCTTTAATTTTTTCTGAACAAAGTGTCATGTGCCATGACATGGAAATCCGTTTCAAGAAAAAAGATTTGACAGAATGTAAATTGTTAGATACACTCAAGCTTTTGGATCCTATTCCGAATGAATAGCTGAAATTCTAGATTCCAAATCATTTTGTCCTCTTTAGTAATATTTGCACTCAGGTAGACTGTCACTGTGGACAACTTTTGAATTATAATATTCTTTTCAGCCATGCTTAATTCCATTGACAACAGAAGTTTTTTCAATGTATATGCACCCAATAGCCACCCATTCATGATCGGAGCTCAGTGCAGAATTAGGTGTACTGTATTTAAGTTATTTTCAATGACTTAAATACACTTGATTTAAGTCTACAAATGGTAGTTCTTGTCAGTAAATGTGAAACCATGCAGTAAAACTTTCAGTCTATATGAATTGGAGAGAAGAAACGCTTCTTAATGACAGGCTAACTTCAGTGTTTTAGTTTTTACAAAACAAAAGTTCACATTCCAGCTTGCTTTCTGTAAAATATTTTTGGTTCTCTAGCAACCTAAATCAAGATGTCAGTGAGTTTGCCTTATCAAGGATTGTTTTTTCTCCTGGATGATATCTTCTATGGTAGGGGTCCCCAACCTGTGGCCGCTGTCCAGTACCAAGCTATGGCCTATTTGCAACTGGATTGTGTGAGAGACAGACTGGCATGCGTGTGCAGCTCAACTTACATGATCAGTGGGCGCCAGCACTTATAGCCCCACTCTCATGAGCGGCGGGCACCAGCACTTGCAGCTCCACATGCATGAGCATGTTGCTCACACAAATGGATCTGTGTATGTATACGTGTGCACATCTGCCCCTTGCACAAAACCATTCCCTCTTCTCCTTTCTCCCCACACAGGGCCATCAACCTGGAAAGGTTGGGGAATGCTGTTCTATGGGGCTTCATGGGCAAGGGATGGATCATCTTCCTTTGATAAACTAGGCATGCTTACAGAATAGTCATATAAGAATATTGTCATTGGAGAAATTTTTATAGACTGCAGTTTCTTATCTTGTACAAATTTTTGATGACATAAACATTTACATATTTTCAGAGTTGACTACTAGCTTGAGAGCTCTAAAAATGATTGTCCAAGAACATAGTTGAATCAACTTAATATTTTTTCTAAAATGATCACATTTACATTTGTCTAGCCAACATATGTGAAGAATTTTGGTGGCAATCAGCCTATTTGGTAAGAAAAAAATGAAAATGTACCATATTGTATGTTTTTTTCTCTGTTCAATTCTACCTTTTCAGAACTCGGAGGTGTCCATTAGACCAGATGTTTTCATCAAAATAATGACAGCATTGCACTATTGCATTGCAAACTTTAGTTTTTTTCATACATGTGTGCAATGTCATGACATGTCAACATGCCAGAGGATCACCTAGTGGCAGTAGAGAGACCATAGAGAGGAGATTTATCTTATTTTCCTATACCATTGTTACTTTTAAATCTCCATCTCTTTTTTACTTTGCTGCAAAAAATGCATGATTTGCATATCTGTTATTAACTTTATAAGTAAAATTATATTCTAGCTGGTTTACATCACAACACAAATAGTTATTATTTTTAAAATCTTTCTAGTATTGCTATTCATCTTCTCTGTCCCAAATATAAATATCTATATTAATGTTTAGTTCCATGTAAACCTGTTGAAGATCATAACCTAACAGAAAAGGGGCATCCAGTAATGACTAGAGTACCTCACTTAACCTTTGGCCTTAAGTACCCGTGGAAATGTTGAGATTTTCTTCAAAGTAAAGTAATAAATAGAATCTAGGATTATTTTTCAGAAGAGGTCCAAAGTTTTCTTTTGTTGAAGGAGACAAGGAATGAATCTTGGATCCAACATGATACTCCACAGCTTTTCAATAATCTATTACTATAAGAAGAGAATATCTACTCCCATCCATTTATCTTGTTTAGTAAGAAATCTCCCTATTACTGTGGAACAGTTCCAACTCTAGAGAACTATAAGATGTTATGTATAAAACATATAACAAACTAAGACCACAATCTAATGAATGCTATGTTTTGATTTGCAATAGCTCTTTATGATGTGGTATTCTAAAGCTTAGCCCACATTTAAACAAAAATGCATGAAATTGGTTCATATTTGATTTTCAGTGTGCTTTATGCTATTCAGACAATAATTCATCAGAACTCAAGAGCTACATTTTGATTTGTAGAAAATTAATCTCTCATTAATGGATATCCCAACCCCAGGATTCCAGTTGCTCTTCTTTTTTCATGTGTGTGCTCATGTTACAATGGTTTCCATTTTTAGTCACACCAGAGAAACATATTATTTTAAATTATTAAAATCTGATACCTCAGGTTTCTTTTTGACAAATAAATCCTGCAAGCACTGGTATAAGATTTTAAGAAACATCTGGCAGCATCTTCAGCTATAGCTTTCATAATGATTACTAGGAGAGGTAAATTGTACACCCATTTATTCTTTGTGGGGAGGTCTCTTGACTGACTACAAAATGTCTGTTTTTGACTATGCAGCTTTAATTCTGATTGTTTATGATGTCCCATGCTGTTCAGGTTTGTTTTTTGCTGTAGGTATAGTATCAAGTGGAGCATTGTATAAAATATTATTTCTCTTTTTAAAAATAATTGTTATCTTAATGTGTCCTGCTCTAAATGATAATTATTTAAGCTGCCGTGGGTTTGGTGTTGCAGTTGAGTTCCATAATGTTTTTAAATTGGGAGAGAAGATAGTGATGGACTCTACAGTGACTTAGCCATTTTAAAAACAATAGCACTGTGCCAAAATATAGGTGTCAGAATCAGATATTGAACATTTGTGATTTATCTTTGTGTTAATGTACTGCAGTAGAATTAAAAAGGCAATGCAAAGTCAAAAGAAAATGATTGGAAGGAAATCTGCTCTATAGACCACAAGATGAGCACATTGTTGTTAATGATGTATTCTATGCTATGTAATCTTAAAATGTAGATATCATATTGATATGCCACATAAATTGTCAGTAACATTATTCTTAAGGTTTTTAAATCTTAAAGCTTTTCAGATGGAGCCAATATTTTTGTAGGATTAGGTCTTTATAAACTCTATCCTCTGCTGAAAATTAGACTCAAAACCTGTGAGACTCATTCAATTCTTGCTTTATTAGAAAACAAGTGCAGTCCATATGATTTTTTAAAAAAAGATGAATAAAATGGGCAATTCACTATCAGCCATTTGTGCCAGAACAAGTTTCTGCCTCATTTTGATAGTTATGAAAAAGTTGGGCACTCATTCATGATCTACTAAGAAATATTTCTTTGCTTGCCTTTT